AACTGTAACATTAAAGTATGCAATATATTTTCTCATTTATCTCGTGTTACTAATGGTCATAGGTGTATACATTGAATATGTGCAAACTAAGTCACAACATGCAGAGAGAGATAGAGTCGTATGTAAATTTTGCCTACATGACTTTTAAATCCTAAAACCGCCACTGCATATAACATTGAAGTATGCAATATCTCTTCTCACTGATCTCATGTTGCTAATGGTCATAGGTGTATACATTGAATAGGTGCAAACTAAGTCACAACATGCACAGAGAGAGAGAGAGAGAGAGAGAGAAAAAGAGAGAGAGAGAGAGAGTAGTATGTAAATTTTGCCTACCCGACTTTCGAATTCTGAAACCACCACTGCGTATAACATTAAAGTATGCAATATCTCTTCTCGATGATCTCATGTTGCTAATGTTCATAGGTGTATACATTGAATAGGGGCAAACTAAGTCACAACATGCCAAGACTCATCAAAATGCCTCCTTTACTTATTATTTGCAATGATGCTTTCAATCCTCATTCCCTTGCCAACACAAATTTTCCTGTTCCTATTTTCTTCTTTTGCTCTGTTTTGCAAGTCTAGATGATTTTCTGTGGGTCTTGTTTTTAGCTCTTGTTTTAAGTCAAATGTACATGACCTACATACCTTGGTGGCTGCTAGTTCTCAGTTGCTTCCGATCTTCAACAACTGCAAGTGGGCCACAACCTCCACACAACTCATATGGCTCGTGAAGAAGTGGGAGAACAAAGGCAAAAAGTGGTGAAGATACACAATATCTTCCTTTCCAACCATTTTCATATAAATTAAAAAAATCTTAAGCTTGAGACAAAAATTAAAAAGTACAAATATTGTTAATAATTAAGAAGTGGAAAACCAAAAAGAAAAAGAAAACAAGAAGTTGAAAACAAAGATACAACTACTAGAATGACAAGGGTACCTTAAAATGGTGCGGTGTGTCAATGGATTTTTGTGTTTATGACCACGCCATATATTCAATAATGCAGTTGAAACTAACACCAACACAACCATAAATACATATTATATACTAATGAAAAAGCATTCCGGTTGTTAAATTGAAGCTCATTCGGATTTTTCAAAGCGTTTTTCATTTTCCATCGCATTCTTTAGTTTCGAACTCGAAATTAATTCGAAATTTCTTTGAACCTACAAATTGAAAGAGCTTCGATTTTATAATCTAATCCTTCGTTTGTATGGTAGTATGTGAGTTTTATAAATTTTAGAATTTCCAATTTAGAAGGTTCCTAGAAATAATAAGTAAAATGTAAAATCTTAATTTGGTCTCATGGAAAAAGACATCATACATTGAAACCCAATCGACAAGTGGGCAATAATTATGAGCACTCAAGTTCAACATCTTACAGTTTAAAATGGCACACTCTTCAGAGTCGCACTTCAAATGTTCCCTCTTCGAAGCTCCATTCCCAAAAGTCTATCCTCCCGTCAACCCCCAGACATGTCGTCATTGACAAACCGGGGAAACCATCTCCGCCTTTACTTCCTCTTTGTCCTCTGCCTTCTCTCCGACACAAAAGCCGCCGCTGCGGACGAGCTTCAAATTCTCTTGAAACTCAAATCCACATTCCAAAACTCAAACACCAACAGCAGCATATTCAGCACATGGAACTCCTCCAACCCCCCGTGCAGTTTCAGCGGAATTGTCTGCAATGAAAAGAATTCAGTTCGAGAAATCGAGCTTTCGAATCAGAACCTTTCTGGGTTTCTTGCGCTGGACGAAATATGCCAGCTCCAATCCTTGGAAAAACTAGCTTTGGGATTCAACTCTTTGAATGGCACGATCAAGGAGGACTTGAACAACTGCACAAAATTGAAGTACTTGGATTTGGGAAACAATTTGTTCACAGGATCGTTCCCTGAGATATCATCCTTGTCCGAATTACAACATCTTCATTTGAACAACAGCGGAATTTCGGGTACTTTTCCATGGAAATCATTGAACAACATGACGGGTCTGATTCGGCTGAGCTTGGGAGACAACCCTTTTGATCAAAGCCTCTTACCAAGCGAAATCTTCAACCTCAAGAATCTCACCTGGCTTTACTTGGCAAATTGTAGCCTCCGAGGACCAATTCCGAAGAGTATCGGAAACCTCACAGAGCTTATCAACTTGGAGTTATCTGATAACAGAATGGTGGGAGAAATTCCGTCCGAGATTGGCCAGCTCACCAAGCTCTGGCAGCTGGAGCTATACAGCAACCAATTGAACGGAACTCTTCCTTTCGGGCTAAGAAACCTCATAAACCTCGAGAATTTTGATGCCTCGGAGAACTTACTCGAAGGCGATTTGTCAGAGGTGGGATTCTTGAAGAACATAGTTTCTTTGCAACTGTATAATAACGGCTTATCTGGAGAAGTGCCAGCTGAGTTCGGCGAGTTCAAGAAGCTTGTGAACCTGTCTTTGTACACAAACAAGCTGACAGGTACTTTGCCTCAGAAACTAGGCTCCTGGTCTAAAGTTGACTTCATCGATGTTTCTGAGAATTTCTTGACGGGAACTATTCCACCTGATATGTGCAAGATGGGGACGATGAGGGGCCTTTTATTCCTGCAGAACAAGTTCACAGGCGAAATTCCTCAAAATTACGCCAAGTGTTCGACGTTGAAGAGGTTCAGAGTCAAGTACAACTCGCTCTCTGGTGTTGTTCCTGCTGGGATTTGGGGCTTGCCGAATGCGGAAATCATTGACCTTACTTCGAATCAGTTTGAAGGTATGATTACTTCTGATATCAAAAGCGCTAAGATGCTTGCACAGTTGTTCGTTAGTTACAATCGATTATCTGGAGAATTGCCAGATGAGATTTCCGAAGCAACCTCTTTGGTGTCCATTGTTTTGAATAACAATCAATTTTCGGGTAAAATTCCGGGGACTATTGGAGATATGAAGCATCTGGGTACTCTGTACTTGCAGAGCAACATGTTCTCTGCTTCAATACCAAAATCTTTAGGAAGCTGTCTTTTCCTGAGTGACTTGAACATAGCCAACAACTTGCTTTCTGGAAACATCCCATCATCTTTAGGCTCTCTTCCAACCTTGAACTCTCTGAATTTATCACAAAACCAACTTTCTGGTCAAATCCCAGAAAGCTTAGCATCTTTAAGGTTGAGCATTCTTGATCTATCCCAGAACAGACTCACCGGTGCCATACCAGACACTCTGTCGATTGCAGCCTACAACGGTAGCTTTTCTGGTAACCCGGGTCTCTGCAGCATGAACATCAACTCCTTCCCGCGGTGTTCATCTAGTTCGGGCATGTCCAAGGATGTCCGCACGTTGATTATTTGCTTCTCAGTAGGCTCAGCAATCTTGCTTGTGTCCCTCACATGCTTCTTGTTCTCAAAGAAGAGCGAAAAGGATGACGACCGTTCATTAAAGGAAGAATCTTGGGACCTAAAGTCATTCCATGTGTTGAGCTTCACTGAGGGTGAGATTCTTGATTCCATTACGCAAGAGAATCTAATTGGAAAAGGGGGTTCCGGAAATGTTTACAGAGTTGTACTTGCTAATGGTAAGGAACTCGCTGTAAAACACATATGGAACACCGATCCAAGTGGCAAGAAAAAGTCCAAGAGCACAACTCCAATGCTCGCTAAACGTGGTGGAAAGTCGAAAGAATTTGATGCTGAGGTGGAGACCTTGAGCTCAATTAGGCATGTGAACGTGGTGAAGCTGTATTGCAGCATTACAAGTGAGGACTCAAGCTTGTTGGTGTATGAGTACATGCCTAATGGAAGCTTGTGGGATCGGCTTCATATGTGCCAAAAGATGAAGCTTGATTGGGAGACAAGGTATGAGATAGCAGTGGGAGCAGCCAAAGGGTTGGAGTATCTGCATCATGGCTTGGAGAGGCTGGTGATGCACAGAGATGTCAAGTCTAGTAACATTTTATTAGATGAGTTTTTGAAGCCTAGGATTGCTGATTTTGGGCTTGCCAAGATTGTTCAGGCTAGTGCAGGCAAGGACTCGACCCATGTGGTTGCTGGAACACATGGCTACATTGCTCCTGGTAATTAATGAAATTCTCTCATTTTATTTTAATTCTGTAATTTTGAGTTGTTTATTTTATTTTATTGTGCTAATGTAATTGTTAATTACGCAGAATATGGATACACCTACAAAGTGAACGAGAAGAGTGATGTGTATAGCTTCGGAGTGGTGTTAATGGAGCTAGTGACAGGGAAAAGGCCGATTGAGCCAGAGTTTGGGGAGAACAAGGACATAGTGAGCTGGGTATGCAGCATGCTCAAGAGTAGAGAGAGCATATTAAGTATGGTGGACTCATATCTTCCAGAGGCCTACAAGGAAGAGGCTATCAAGGTGTTGAGAATTGCAATTCTATGCACAGCTAGGCTTCCTGAGCTAAGGCCTTCCATGAGAAGTGTGGTTCAAATGCTAGAGGAGGCTCATGAGACATTTAAATTGATGGGAATTGTTATCAGCAAAGATGGCACTGCTTATAATAAGAAAATGGAAGTACTGAAGGGTACAGAGAAGTGAAATTAATCAAGAATCAGGCTTCGAAAATCGGTCGAAGCACCTCGATTATCTCCACTTAATCTAAAGCTTAACATGGAATTATTGTGTAATATATGAAAGCTGAGATTGCTTGTAACATATAAGCCAGAGCCTGCAGATCATTATATTTACATATATATGTTTGTAAGTTTGTGGATGTAAAATAGTTGCGGGCAGGGCTCCATTTTGTACCCTATGTAGAATATGTCTACTAGTTAGTCCTTAGCTCCCTTCAGGGGTTGAGTTTCATTGAAAGGAGATCTACTGTTTATTTTAGTTTCTCTTATTATTGTTAATTTTTGGGTAATTGGAACAATTTTTTGGTACGCAAAATAACCAAACAACAGAAAGAGACACGGAAAAGAAAAATTCAATTGGAATATTTGCTTTTTGAGGTTGGGAAGTGGCTTCTCAGATGGTTTATGGGTGTCTCATTTTAGAAATGGATGCTCAAGAGGTGATTAGATGTTTGAATGCTTCAGAGGAACGCATGGATTCCGATGGTACACTGATAGCAGAAGCACAAACATATCTAAGGCTTTTTCCTGCTGTGATTTGTCAATATGCCTCTCGCAATTGTAATAACGTAGCACATTGCCAGGCTAAGAGAGCGTTGTTATTTTCAGGTTTAGATTGAAGAGGGGGCCTCCGTGGCTGTCCAACGTGCTACTCTCTGATGGTTGTCTCTTCTGTTTTCCAAAACCTGCTGCAGGTTGGACTAGTTTTCAAATCACCTGTTCCCCAACCTACATTAGATTCACAGGTTCTCATTGATTCTAGTTGTTGTTGCTTGATCCATAATATGTATTTACTTTGTTGTTTCTTTTGCTTCATACCCTTTTGATGCATTGGTTGGTTTAGTTAACAGTAGTGTTTTGTTTGGTTGATTCTGGTGTGGTTTTTTGTTTTGTTTGTCCTCGCTTGATGCCTGCGTTTTCCTGGTTTTGTAGTTCCAGTTTCTATTTTGTCTTGTTTTCAATGCTTTTTGAGGTTGTACTAGGTTCCTTTCTATTACTTGATCTGCTTGCTTTTCTGTCTTCAGTTTTTTCTTGGTTAGTAAGATTCTGACTTATTCGTGGTTTTGTTGTCTGTTTTAGTTCAGGTTTGTCTTTCCTCTGCTCTCAGTCAGTTTTTTATTATTGTTCTTTTAAGTTTTGTTTTTTATTGTGCTTTATTTCTCTTGTCATCTCTTTGTTTTTCATCATCGAGGTTTCCTTTTTGGCCTGCTGTTTGTGCGTTTCCTTCTGCTGTTTTTGAGGTGTTAGTTTAGTTTCCTATTCTGTTTTCGTGTTTTTTTATTTTATTTTCTGCTGTTTGTGTGATTTCGTTTTTTTTTTATACCTCTGTCATGGTTTTACTGTTAGGGTTTGGTTATCTTCTTTTTTGCTACTTTTTAGGTTTCTGTTTGCTCGCTCTTAATTTAATTTCCCTTTTCTTGTTTTGTCAGGGTTTAGTTCTAGTTTTTGTCCTGTTGTGTTGTGTTCTTCTAGATTGCTTTAGGTATGTTCCTCTGTCTTTATTTTGTTACTTATTTTCTCTTATTTTTTGGAGACCCTTGCAGGTTGCCAGGTTTGTATATGATGCTCTCTTCTACTTCTCTTTAGTTTTTGTTCCAATTTATTTGGTTCCTTGTCTTCATTCAGTTTGGTTACTTGGTTGGGGTTCAACTCCTTTTGTATTGTGCTGGGTTGGTTCTTGCCATCTTTCCTTTTCTTCTCTTCCCTTACTGTTTCGATGTGTTCCATTTATTATTCGTTTCGTTTCTTTCTTTATTCCTTATTTTACTTTCAGCTTGTTTAAAGTTCTAGCAGACTACATCAAGGAGAAGAGTAAAGAAACTACAAGCAATTCCTCAAAACTTCAATCAGATCATACCAAACAACAAGAAAGCCGTAGATGACTCGAACAAAAGATCGAGGTAAAAAACTGAATAGTACATTCTTCCACACCCAAAATTACAAATCTGGATCACTTTTAGTTGGGGACTTCTTCAGCAAAGTTCATGGTAACCAGTAACAGAAACTGTCAGCAAAAAAGAAAGAAAAGAAACACACTAAAAAACTTAGTTGAAGTCCCTTGTTCTTTGTGTCCCCTTTTGAGGTTAAGGAATCAACCAGTCTTATGATTATGCAGACTATTGATCCAAGTAGTTTCGAAGCTGTGACATCTGGAGCTTTAGCAAACCTGCATACAAAGAAAATCAATAGACATACAAAAGTTGAAAAAAGAAAAAGAAAAAGAAAAACAGAAGAGAAGGCTAACAATAACCATATTGAAATAACATGATTTATTCCTCATTGACACTGCAGCACATACTGAAGCTTAAAAAGAACGACAACCAGAATATGGCGGGTGCCACCTCACTGTGCTCTTGACAGATCATTCAAGGATCTTATCTAAAGCACAATATAAGGTCTCTAAGTCATTGTAAACATGAATTATGCCTAAATTTGTTAAGAGTAGATAAGGATCAGCAGAGGCTCAAGCACCATGGTCATACACTAAAGGCAGAAATAGGTGCTTCTTTTATGGGTAAAAAATCTCCATTCTATAGCAAGATCATCACAAGTATGCATATTAGCCATCCATATTAGATAAATAAGTAGTGACAACACTTAAAAATATGATGACATAAGACATAGATATTCAACATTTGTTATAAGTCAATCACCAAAGCCTCAATCACGACGAGTACTTGGGATCCTAGAGAGAGTTTGGTCATCCAGAGAGCTGCAGTCTAAAGGAAGTAGCAGGCCTTGAAATGCATGTCATATAAGATGCTAGACAACACTATATGAGTGAAAAATTAGCTTTATGTGCTACTGTGTCATCCCATACTAATACTCGGAAAATTGGCTTGAATCCGCTCTTTCGAAACGAAAGAAGAGAAAAATAGCATTCTATTGATTTAGAGAATCTACTTCCATTCCAACAAAGTTGGAGACTTTCTGCAACAAAGTTGGAGACTTTCTGCAACAAAGTTGATAGTTTCCCTATGTGCAACTAGTTCCAAACGTTCACAAATGGAGATGAGAGCCTTAACCATAACCAGGCAAATCCACAAAGTACCAACTTTTATTCACCAACAAATGATTGGTAAGCTTAGTCTTCCCTACACAAAACTAAGCAAACCCCAGAAACTAAAACACATTAAAACCAGAAGAAAGAAAAGAAACCTGGTTTGTACTGGTACAGAAGTCCTAAACCTTCTCATGTTATGGGAACTTGTAATACAAAAAGCAAGTGCCTCCAAGCCCATTTCCAACTTTGTGCATGTATGTATGGTCTATTAGTTTGGTCCATAACATTAGCCTTTGTGAGAAGCAAGCCCATTCATCCCCCCAGAGTCCACTCTTTGGATTTTTTTTTCATGTGCACACTTTCATGAGAACCACAACAAAATTTTCAACGTAATCTCTCACAATTTGACATGTGTCAAATGTGATTTACAGTAACTAGAAATGGACTGTCCTATCAATATCGCTTCATATTCCATCCTATAAAAAACGATTGAATTGCAACAAGAGAGAGAGAGAGAGAGAGAGAGAGAGAGAGAGAGTATTGACCATATCAAAAGCAGACTATATATTCTATCTTATAAGATAAGGATTTTGAGGAATATTTTACTTGATCTAGTGGGACGCGGCCTGCCGCAGCATGAAATGTGTGTGGCCATTTGCAGGCCCTTAACTACAACTTTGATTATCAATTGCTTGCTTCTATTAATCTAGCCAATCAAACATGAGCACCTCGCAGGCATCACTCATCTGAAGTGCTTGTCAATTTGTCACCAAAAAAGACAACGCATGTCTCCAATGTTTTTTCAGCAATGCCACTGCTATTTTGCGCTCATGATTCAGGCGCATGTTAGCCTCCACCCAAAGGAAAAGTGTGGGTCTCTCTCTAAAAGCAAAAGCAGCCTTGTAAGGCATTTCCAACTAAGATTTGGTGAAATTCCAAACTGCCATGGCTTTTCAAGAGTGGGGGTATCTAAGTATCTTTGCTTTGCGCTTCATCATTGAGCACTCTTATGATCCTCCTATCCAACAAGAGATTCCCTTCAATGATTCATAAGGGTTGTTGGAGAGGCCTATTGGGCTTTTTTCTTAGTGACCCATTGAGTTGAGGATGCTACAATCTACATGTTTATCCAAATAATTAAGTGAAGTGGTGAGATTTTAGTTGGTAAGATCATATTTTGAAGAAAGAAATATGAGAATGAGTTCAGGCCTACATATGGCTCCGTCCCTATTACTGCACATAACTCTACTTTCGTCTTCATATATTTAAACTCTTCGAAATTCTTTCCTTTGACTTGACTGTTGCGAAGTTCTTGATAGACATAGCATTGGTGTCTCATTGACAACTAGCTAGAAGCTTTTTGTGTTCTTGGTAAGGATTAGATGGATAATCCGCAATTATGGTGATTTTCTGTAACCACCAAAACAACCAACCACATTTAAGATTTCATAAAATGAGTGCTGAAGTGTGTTACAAATCAAATGGTTTGTATTGCTTTTGGATGTTTACCATTTTGTAAGTGGATACAAAAGTAAGCCAACAATCGACATTACCATTTCATCAATTGTTTTCCTGTATTTTAAGTTTATTAAAAGATTCATCGTGATAATGGTCATCTAGTCATGGTAAAGGGGCCATGGCAGCACCCAACTTAGGCAACATGTGCCTTAGAAGGGAGGTGAATTTTTTTAAAATTTTGGTTTGTTTTGTGCGAGTAGAATCATGTTATGCTTACAAAATGAATAGGGCAACTAATGAGGTCATGTTCATATTAGAGTCCTTGGGAAGAGATTTGTTTTCTCTAATATGTAGTCAAAAGACTTTCAAAATGGATCACGTCAAATTTTTAGACAAAAAAATAAACAGAGTTAAATTATAAGTGACACATTATAATAAAATTTTAATTGAAGTAAAAAAAATTGACTAATTTATTTCAAATTGCACGTAAGCTATAACCCAGGTTATATTAGTGTAAATTTTTCCTCTTTATAGATCAAAGAAGTAAAATAAATGAATAAAAGTTGTTGTAAAGGGTTCTTGAATTCCAAAGAAAAGGAGGACTTGCGATGTAAACCCATCAGATTTAAAGCAGTAATAGAAATCTCAGAGCATCTCCACCCACAAGGGCTAAGTCTAAGGCAAGGGCAAGCAAGGGCTGCCACTATTCACGTGAATAGTGTCAGCCTTGCCATTTGCAACTCCACCCATGAGGGCAAGGTCTATGGCAAGTCAAAGGCAAATACTATTCATTGTACTTCATTTTCTATTTTTTTATACTTTAAACCATTAATTTTGATAATCTTTTGTAATTAAATTTTTGGATAAAAAAATATTGGATGTAGAAGAATTGAATGAAGATTTGGTGTGGAAAGTGAATAATGTGAGTGGAGACTAAAAAATATTGGATAAAGAAGAATTGTATGAAGATTTGGTGTGGAAAGAAAATAAAATGGTTAGGTATTTTATAGGGAAAAAATACAGAATTTTTTGGTATTTTTTAAAAAAAATTTCAGAATTTGTTCGAATTTTTTTTGCAATTTTTTAAGCCAAAAAAACGAGGACCGTCGGATTTCTGGAAAAAAAAACGATCGGAGTGTCCCTGTCGCGACACGTGGCACAACAGTAAAAAAAATTTGAATTTCCACGCGCTGACGTCAGCATGACGTCAGCGCTGACGTCACAAACTCGGGCTGAAGCCCAGGCAGAACTTGCCCTTGGGCCTGCCCGGGCTGGTGGGACCCAGGGCTTACCCGGGCTGCAGTTGCTGCGCTGGAGTGCAAAACTGGGCTTTGGGGGGCCTTTTGCCCGGGTTACTTCATTGCGCTGGACATGCTCTCAGCAATGAATGATCCTATGTGGATCTTGTAAAACAAACTACAATGCTGCCCTTACCTACTTTTTTGGTGTGAATTCCATGTTAGAGAATATAAAGTCCCGGAAACTTGAGTAAATAAATTACAACTTATAATAAGTGGTTCCACTTCTAATAATATCGAGATCTTTTGTGATAAAACCTCACACCTACTACCACACCTACTGGGTTTTGTAAGTGGTTAAGTTGGAGACAATTTCGATATTGCTAGTAGCGGGACTCCAACCTAGACACAGACCAGCCACACCTTGATTGGATGTGGTCATCGACCCGATCGACTCCGACTCAAACTTTAACCTATGAATACACAGACCCAGATGATTAACTCCGATGTGAACCTGGCTCCATGTGTGGCCCGTCTCTCTGAAATTTAACATTCCCCATAACACAATTTTATAATGGATATGATTCCCAACTTATCCACCTCCATCCAATTAGGAATTATAGGAATTATTGTACTCTTCTTTGCCACTAAACCAAAAGCTCCAAAACTAGGATACTGATCATAAACAAATTCGCAAGTAAAATTCTTCACCCCTTGAAAACATGTAGAATATGCCACCATTTAGATTTTGATTGGCCTAAATGGTCACCTGAAAAAGGTTTGTTTGCCATTATATGCTGCTTTTGCTCTTCTTCTTATCTTCCAACAACTGTTTCATTGCCGGCATTACTAAGCCACATGTTGAGAAAAGACTGTTGGATAAAAATTATCTCTCTCAACCAATTGCAGAGTAAATCAAGTTTACAAGAGGACTGAAAAAAAACTACCACCCAATAGGCTTATAAATTCTAAAATCTTCTGCAAACTGTAGGAAAGCACAATACAGCAGAAAAGCACCCAAAATACCAAATATGCTGAAAACCAACTAGCAGAGGCAGACCAGGTGATGCTTAAACAGTAAATTAGTGTTATTAGCACTTATGGACTGCATTAGATATAATTAGTAGATAATTTTTTAAATTTGACTAGCTTCATTCTGAAGTTTTTTGAATATCAACATATT